CGCGAAGCCCCACGCGATATACACGCGTGTTCACGCCAGTGAACTGAATATAACTGGAGTCATATAAAAAACGCTTGTCTTGGATTATTTGGCTTTAGGCAAAAATTAACCTGCGATCAGGGAGAAATGAACTATGGAATAATGGCCTGATCTCTATTGGTTTCCTAGTTGGCTGCATGCACAGTTGTGCCAGAAATATGCGCCATATTTTGCTGGCAGGTTATGAAGATGTGCCATCTTTTCTTAACCAGTGGAAAGTGGAAGCTATAGAACGTCCTAAAATGATTAAAATGAAAACATATTTGGTATATACTGTATAACTCAAAATTAATTTCACAGTCACAGGTCACAACAGTCTACAGTACATGCCCATGGCCATGCTGATACTGTATATGTGCCATTTTCAGCTCTGAATACTGACTTGAGAGGGCATATTTTGACTTGAGATATGCATGTATATGTATGTATGTATGTTTTCTCAATTATTTCGTGTTGCTGTTGTTTAATATATCATGCAATTCAAACCAAATCAGTTACATGCAGGACACAGCAGTAGCCTATATAGGTAGCTACTATATGCCGATAGATTTATGAAAATGTAAAGACTCAAGCTTGACTCTGGACTCAAGGAGTGCATGAACGGCATCATTAATGATATTTAATTTATGTTGCATCAGAGTGGTTTTATGCGCAAACTTTGTTAGTGACTTAAGATCTTTTAATAGTAACTTTACCTTCGATAAGCTGGAATCGTCTATAAGTGCCACCTCTTAAGAGCCGAGTTATAGAATACAGTATAGCTAGCTACTTCACCGATATCGTCAGTTGGCATCTAGTTGAAAATCGCAACGGGGTATTTTATTCTGCGAGCTATTTTAGTTGAATCAATTTTATAATATTTGGCCCCCTTGTGAACAAGCTTGTAATCAAATATCATTGCGCTAGGCATTAAAAATAATATTCAACTTCTCCCTCACACCCGTTTTGCTTGATTGATTACAGTCTATATTATGGTGTTCTACAGTTGCAGGCAAAGTGTTGGCGAGACCTAAAATCACAGCGTGATCCGCACTATATAAGTGCGGTTTACCCTGCGATTTTTTTCCTGCGGATTGTAATTAGTTCAGAGGGTGTCCGCCATATCAGTGTCAATCTAAGGGAAGCCTCACATATCGATCTTTTCCACGAGAAACGTCATATGTTCGTTTGGAGGGTTTCGTGACGTTTCTCAGTAAACATCGTAGGAAAATTCAATAGTTTGTTCGAAAGCCTTAACATTTCGGAATCATCTTTGCAGAATAAAAAAATTACATTCGTAATCCCGTACCTCTCAGGCCTATTAATGCTTGGCTCCTGCTTGGCTCTGCCCACGCTTGACTTGATATGTCCGCGCGAGTAGCGCGCGCGATTAAACATATCTAGCGTGTTGCCATTTGAGTGCGTTTTGGCGTTCGAATGAAACTGAAATTCAAAAAATATGAGCTGTTGGATTATGTTAGATTATAGCAACCGGCAGGGATGAGTAAACTATTAGTTTTTCTTGTACAATTGGCCGCTTTATAGTATAATATATCAGATGCGATATGCGGCGACCTTTGAACTTTGATATATAAAGCTCGCTATTGCGGGGTTTTATGTCTGAATTATTCAACATTGATTTGTGATTCCTCTTTAGTTTCCCACGCACAGAAAAATATTTTAAACTACAAATAAGTACCCAGCGTATGGATGGTTCAAACGTTTTGGGGTGGTGATGCTTAAGAGTGACATATTTCCGCTTAAAACTCAATAATGCAAAAAATATTGTTGTTGAAATATGATATCCTTTCATATAAGACTCAGACTTGTGTCGAAAATTATGCTCAACATATAAACGAACATATGTACTTATGTCTTATCATATTGTACTTCTGTACATATTCTCTCTGTTCCTCGCATATTATTTGATTGCAGTACTTCTAGTTACAAATTATTTGTTTGTCATTGTATATGTATATTTGTATTTGATAATATTTTGTTTCACGATCCTATAATGATAATGGCGTGCGCGAATTCACCACGCAAAAAACGCGTTGGACTTGCCGACACATAAGATAACGTTAATGTGGGTCGTTAAAACGCAGATCTTGTCCAGAGTACAGCCAACTTTGGTCCTACAATTAGACTTGTAAGCATTGTAATCTGGAACCATTATTTTAGTGCAGATTATATTGACATTGCGCGATACATTGTTGTATTCACAGCAATATTTTCAGATCTGTGCCATAATCTTTAAGTTTCTAATTGCTACATTGCAGTATAAGACTAAAAGTTTCCGTGATAATATTTTTGTACATATCCATGAATGTTTAGTGTGTCGGCAAGCCGTGTTTTAAAACATTAAGTTAATTTCCATTCTCACCGCCTATATCTTGTCACGTGGCCAGTTTCCATGGAAACCAAATAGTTTAAAAATATCGACAGTTGATTTCCAACATCCCACCCAAAAATGAGAGTCGTTGTGTACATTGTTAATTTTTCATTAATTTTTAAAGATTTTTCCTATTTTTCCACTCCTAACGAAATTGGAGCCATGCATTAATGTACCTGAGCTGTTCTATATACTTATACATTTATATTATTACGCCTTCCTTTCATTGAAAACAGTCACTCAAATTTTAAGAAAAACGAGCTAAAATTATCAATATTTCATGCAAAAAAAGTTGTTTTGAGAAACGTTGGAAATTTTGAAGTTCATATATATTAATGAAAAAAGATATGTCAGCAGCAGATGTATATCTATAAGAACAAAATATCGATAACTATGTGTGACGTTTCTAAGGGTGTGGGGGGGGGGGCGTCTCTAGAGAAACGAACATATGACGTTTCTCGTGGACAGAATCGATATGTGAGGCTTCCCTAAACATGAAGAATTTTGTGTCTTCATCAACAATGCTTACTGGCATGCAGTTAGCGTTCCAGAGGGTGTCCTAATGTCATTGATAATTAGATGCCAAATTAAGCATATCAAACATTTATACTTTTACTTGACTTAAAGCTGAGCTATAACATCACCACAGCTTAAGTCCACAGCTGGATCGAGTATCGTTATCCTTGCAATTAATTTGAATTTTTAGAACTACCTCGAACGGATGGCAAAAATCGACAATTGAACGTTTATGAGGATGGAAACAGATTGGAGCATTATGGATCGAATAAGGGGGAAATTGGATGTCACTGGAAAATAATACCATTCGTTCCCAAATTATGGTAAGTTTTAGCTAGAAGTAAAAGTATTGTAATTCGGCTTATAATGCAGAAAAGCTCATAATGATATCAAAAATGATATCACGTAAATTTCATTATAGTTTCGCCAAGCAAATCATTATCATCGGCAGGCGTCCACCTTGTAATCGCGCTCACACACATATAGGTTAGATTTTGCGAGCAGATTTGAATATTAAACTGCATGATCAGAGGTCTGGGGCCAGTTGAGTTTAATCTTGGGTTGACTTGAAATTTCAATTAATTACGCAAACTTTTGATCTTGTCTTGAATTTGTTTATTTTATATTTATATATTTATCATATATAATTATCATTTATAGGTTTATCATTATATTATTGTTTTATTGGGACTGCTCCAACTTTGAATTGGATCATGAAGTGGTTCTCTCGTGTTGATGCTGGTCCAAGCTCCAAAAAACTAAGAGTATTAAGCAGGAATAATATAAGAAAATAATTCTTCATGTACTGTGTGGAATTGAAATCAGGGATTTTAATTCAATCATCTATATCAGTGTTTGTAACAAACTGTGACCAAATTTGGATTGTTTTCGCAGACTCGTATTAATCTGAATATGGCAATACTTGGTAACACGATCAATATGGAGTCACGATATAAGAGAAGTGAAGATATTTAGATGTTCTAAATTGACCAACATTATCAAACATTACCAATATCATGGCGATATGTGATAATTATTTTACGAAAGTCGCTCGGCGCAGTACAAAAGTGTATCTTCAGGGAATACGCAGGGGTATCATATAAATGTGTATCGTTGGATTTTACTGGAACTTGGGAAGTACACTACTTCCAAAAATTAATGGAAGATTATTAAATAACAATTAGAGAATGACAGTATATTTGTTAACAATTTTAGCAAATTTCAATTCCAAGACAGTTACGACATGGCAGATTATACCGTAGTTATGGCATAGCAATTTGACATGGTAGAATTTTCCGCGTACTCGAATAAATTTGAAAATTATGATGATAGAGTTTTCATGAAAGAAGCTCGCTTGCAGGTAAAGAGGAGGTTAAATATCGATTCTCTTCTTTGCTCGTACAAGTTTGAGAATTGCGAAGTTCAGACTTATGACTGTCTTTATATATAGCCTGGTCTGGAACTTTGAAAAGAACTAAAACTATAGGTGAATGTAGAAGACCGTATTTAGAAACGCGTTGTTTAGGCAGAATCTTTTCAGTGTGTGAATGATGATGAAGTGCATCATATATTAATTCTCATCAAAAAAGCTTGCTCAATGGCAGTTACAGTAGAGTCCAGACGGTGTCTAAATCATGTCAATTATATTACCGGTAGAAGAGAGTTGAATGCTGAAGATGTTCACGCTACAAATCCTATGCAGTAGAAACTAATCAACCGCACAAAAACGAAGATAAAAGGCCGAAACCTCATAATACAAATTTATGTAAAAATGCAGCGCCTAACCTTTCTTCCGACGTCCGCAATAACGATAAGCAACATGGCGATTTACATACATCTAATCATAGATATAGGAGATCTAGATTGCTAACGCATACCTAGCGCAGGCGGGGCCTACATGATAAATCCAAGATGGCGGTACAACAGGGCAAAAAGACTATAGATTCTATTACGAAAATCAGGATTTTTGCATTTTTTGCCGTCGCATTGTTTCGAAACTTATTCGGTTAAATTTTATGGTAAAGAGAAACTTACCGCGAAGTTTTTGAGCATATATATGATTGAATTGGATGAAAAATCGCAAAATTATCCAGCGATAAAAGTTCGTGTGAAATGGTCAGTTGGTCAGTTGGAGCGTTTTATTGCCAGAAATACTGTGCTATGTTAACATCTAGCCTTGTGAATGGTGTTTTATACTTGCATCTCTCATCATCATCTGCTCTGTCCTCATAATTGTGAAAAATGAACTGTTATGTACCCCCCCCCCCTTGCTTGTTAGAGAAGTAAACTGATGAGAGCACTGGATGAGGGTCTATCATCTATGGTCTGTTATAATTTGCTTTTTATGCAAGTAGTGAGCAAAAATTAAAGCAAAACTGTACAAGTTACATACATAGTACTATATCAGTACTATACACGAACTTTTATCGATGGATAATTTTGCAAGTTTTCATCCAATTCAATCATATATATGCTCAAAATCTTCGCGGTAAGTTTCTCTTTACCATAAAATTTGACCGAATAAGTTTCGAAACAATGCGACGGCAAAAAATGCAAAAATACTGATTTTCGTAATAGAATTTATAGTCTTTTTGCCCTGTTGTACCGCCATCTTGGATTTATCATGTAGGCCCCGCCTGCGCTAGGTATGCGTTAGCAATCTAGATCTCCTATATCTATGCATTTAATACATCCTTAAATAACAATCCCAATAATGAAGCTCCTAGCCCGCAATGACAAAACACTACTATTCCCGTTCGCATTACTAACAGAGGCCATGTAACACCAAAACGAACAGAACCCTTTCAAACCCGTAATAAATATGTCCGAAGTTATGCCCACAACAATCAACGATCTAATGGCGGGCCATTGGGGTCTCATTATGGACCGTTGTGTAGTACGAATCTGAATGAATCTAATGTAGATTTTTTTCGTACAGTACCTGTGCGGAAACCGAAAGATCCTTGTCTGCCCCGGAGACAAAATCCTATTCTACCGGTTTCATTACTAGATATATCAGTGCAAAATAGAGGAAATCACGCTAATAAACATAACTTAATTCAAATTCCTATACAAACTAATATAAATTCAAATTTCCGGCCTTCTTTTACTCGATTCCAAACTAACGTCTCCCATAAACTCAAGATTGCCCACCTGAATATTAGATCATTGAGGAATACGTCACATCTTATAGAGACCAAGGAACTTGTAAAATCACATAAAATTGACGTCCTTACAATGTCCGAAACGTGGTTAAATAGTACAGTTACGAATGGTGAAATTGCAATTGATGATTATAAAATTTACAGACTTGATAGATTACATAAGAAAGGTGGAGGGGTATGCGCATTTGTCAAAAAAGTCTTAAAAGTAACCATATTAAACGAACTAACATATACATCAGAATCAAACTTTCAACAACTTTGGATTAAGCTTCAAAATAAGAAAATGAAGACAATAATAATTTGCGTGACTTATAGACCTCCGGACTGCCCCCTCGATTGCATTCAGGATGATTTTAGACAAAATTATGTTCGGGCATTATCTATGAATAAACCAATTTTTATTCTTGGTGACTTGAACTGCAACTTACTTAAAGATTGCCCAGAGAAAAGAGCTATTACAGAACTTTGCAATGATTTAAATCTTAAGCAAATAATCAAGGAACCAACGAGGTTTACAGACACGTCGCAATCGCTCATCGATGTTATACTAGTTTCTACTGAAGCCGTAGTCCTTGAAAGCGGAGTATTAGATTCTGCAATCAGCGATCATTTTCCAATTTACGTATCAACGAAACTGAAGGTTCCAAAGACACCACCTACTTAATCACGGTGAGAAGTTATAAAAATTATGATGCCACAGCTTTCTCTTCTGATCTGGCTACGAAATCTGATCGTCTTTTGTCTATATTTACTAGCTGAAACAGATGTAAATACTAAAACTGAAGTCCTTAAGGATGTTATTCAGTCAACCTTGGATTTACATGCACCAATTAAAACAATCAAAATTAGGAGCCGCTCCAACACATTCGTTACACCCGACACGAAAGAACTCATGAAATCTCGAGACAAACTACATCAGAGATTTCTTAAAACACGTTGCAAGCGGGATTGGGAAATGTACACAGAATCTCGTAACAAAGTTAAAGTTATGCTTAAGGAGGCAGCAATAAACCATCTATTTGATGAAGTTAAAGTCCATAAGAATAATCCAGGTTCTCTCTGGAAAATAATTAATAAAACTATACCTGTAAACTAGAAGGAAAAACATATCTACACGAAAGACCTCAAGTCGATTGTGGAAGATTTTAATAACTACTTCACCTCAGTTGGAAAAATCACCGCCGCTACAGCATTAGATCTGGCAAACAAAAACAACATTGCATTATCGGATCCTATGTTCAACTTTGAAATCTACCCCACCGATCAACAGTTTAAGTTTAAACCTGTTACTTGTTCAGTAATTCGACGAATTATTGTGGCAATACCCAGAAACAAATCACCGGGGCCGGATAAGATCAGCATGGGTGTTATTAAAGATTATTATATATCAATAGTCAAAGTCGCATTTTTCTAGTGTTTTATTGGTTGAGAGCATATCACGTGAGAGTGACGAAATTAGGCTGTCTTCCTCACAACAGCGCGAGAGGGAGATAATACGTTATCGACCGGCGATAACGATTGTTGTTTCTTTGATAATAAAACACTTATTTACTGAGACCTCGGGAAAGCAGTGTGTTTTGTGGACACTCGACCGTCGATGTTTCCCTCGGCTTCGCCTCGGGAAACATCGACGGTCTCGGGTCCACAAAACACACTGTTTCCCTCGGTCTCAGTAAATAAGTGATAATTGTCTACCAGTCATTCTGGGCCCCCTTACGAACCTAATTAACAGTTCCTTAACGTTAGGCAAGTTTCCCGATAAGTGGAAACTCTCTGAAGTAATAAAGATGGCGATCAAGAGATACCGTCTAATAATCGACCCCTTTCACTTTTAGAAGTTTTATCAAAGGTCTGTGAAAGAGTTGCACTCGACCAATTTAGTTCATACATAACAGAAAACCAACGTTTATCACCACATCAAAATGGAAATAGGAAACACCACTCTACAGAAACTTTAAACATCTTCATTACGGTCAAGATGCTGGAAGCCATGGACAAAAAACATGTAACAGCCCTCATTTTATTGGACCTGCATGTCTAAGGCCTTTGACAGCATCAATCATACAATCCTATTGCAGAAGTTAAAATGCGTAGGAGCGTCTCCGCTAGCCAATCAATGGTTCGAAAGCTATCTGTCGGGCAGACCACAATACGTACGAATAGGATCTACTGTTTCCTCAACTAGCGCACTAACCCATGGAGTGCCCCAGGGCTCTATTCTTTCACCATTTTTGTTTGGAATTTACGTTAATGATCTACCAGCAGTAACGGTTTTAAGTGATCTCGACTCCTACGTTGACGATTCAAAACTCCATCTTGCATTTCTTGTCGAAGACGTACAACAGACAATAGCTAAACTAGAAAACGATCTGTATAAAACCGCTAAATGGTGCTTGGAACATCAATTATTAATCAATCCTGATAAGACCAAATTACTCTTAGTAGGCACAAGATCAATGCTACAGAACTTACCAACACAAATCAATCTGAACTTTCTCGGAAAAACTCTTAAACCAGTTTCAGTTGTCAAAGACTTGGGGATGCACCTTGATTTACATCTCTCCTATGTTGACCATATTTCTAAACTGTCGTCAACGTGCATAAACAAATTATGTCAAATTAGTCGAGTAAAGGAGAGCTTTGATAAAAAAACTTTAATATTACTTATTGAAGCTTTGGTGATTAACAAGTTGTTATATAGTTCTTCGATG